GTTTCGACAAGGTTTAGTCATCATCAGGTTTAGTCATCACCTGATGATGACTAAACCTTGTCGAAACGTTGTACATTTGCTGTCATGTTAAACTTATATTAAAGTTTTTCTTCATTACCCATTTAAGCCGTCTCCAGCCATTCTTTAAGATATGTTTTTGGTATTTCTTTTCTAATTTAATACACCAGTACTTTCGTTACTAAGACTTTTACTCTATTAGTTTATGAAAAGAAAGAAGTCAGTTTATTATCATCACAATAAGTTACTTTAAAAAATGTTTATATTTAATATTTCAAACACAAATAAAATTTTGCACAATAGCAACCAAATGTCCAAGTATAGAACTGGGGGAATAAAAGCTGCCATGCATTCAATTACACAACACTAATTAACACAACTACAATTAAGTGTTTACATTATTTGAAATTATCAATAAAAACAACTGTTCACTGAGCTCTAGAACAAATAAGTCACTGGTTAACTCCTACAGCACAAAGTTTATTACTAGTTAGCTAACCTGAAGTTTTGTGAAACATTAGAAAAATAATCATTGTAAATAAAAGTTAAACAATTTACCTTTCTGTAAAAAAATGATGTGACAAAAAAATTTAGAAGAAAAGGTTCATTCGGACCCCTGTAGTCAAATTTAAAGAACAGGATGGTGACGATGAGGACTATATAGTGATGGGAAGAGTCACAAAAGGCACTACGAACACAATGTAGACTACAAACTACCACCACTAATGAGCCACCCCTGTAACAGAAGAAAAAACTGGATAGCAACAAAAGTTTTGCACTTTTAAAAAAATTATCTAATGGTTCCAAACTGAAAGCTACCAATGAGACGTTGATTTGTAGGTATAAATGAAAACAGTTTCAATCCACTAAACATAGGGGAAATGTAGATTAAAATTAAATTTACCAGTATATAGCTACAAGAAAATTAATAAACCAAAAAAAATTTAAATGTATATGTATATATATATATGTATATTTTCACACATAATTTATTTTAGTATAGTTTTGTATATTTTATCTTTTGTATGTATTTCAGATATTTCCTTCATTAAACTTCATTTTATTTCAGTACTTAAATGAATGGTCCCATTTAATTAAACCTTTTCAATTTTTTATTTAATGCTTGACTCTCAACACGAGCTCAGTCAATTTGACCAACCATGTGACCTCTTTGTACTCATTTAAAGTCTTTATAGATTTAATACTTCTAACTTTCAATATAGTGTGTATAGCTTCACACTATTTGGCAGTCTTTCAGTTAACATTATGTCTTTCACATACAAAAAGTCACATTTTTTAATGAAGTATTTTTATTAAACTAAAATAAAGATTTGTCCTTGAATATATTGAGTATTTGTTTTGAGTAGTCGTGTGAAAAATGATTTTCGTGTTAAGACTAAAAATACTTTTCTTCATCTCAA